ATTCCTCAATTTTCTCATTTAGAAAATGTGAATAGTCATGGCACCTACCTTATTATATTATTGTGAGGATTAAAATAAATAATATAGTTAAAACATTTAGAATAATACCTCACACATAATAATTATTGTTACCCCATATCATCATTTAGGAAGATACTTTTATATTTATACAGCAAACTTACATTAGCAATTGTGTCAACCTACAGGCCCAACATGGGGTGTTTTATTGTTCAGCATCTATTTCGTCTCTTCATAGTACATTTTGTTTAGTATTATTGGGTGAAGTAAATGATTAATTATAAGATGTGGCTTTGACACATACGGACTGAAAATTTTAAACTAGCATTCAGTCCAAAAAACCTGAAATTCCCACTATACCCAAATCTTTGGAAATAAAGAAATAGAAAATTAAAAAAACAAAAACTATGCTGTGAATGAACTGTTATTCTAAATTATTTTAGATTCCTATTATCTCTCAAACAAGTTCAGTAATTTTTTCATAAATAATTAATTTGACTTAGAATTTTAAGCTTTACTTTTCTAAAGCTAAATACAAAATGAGGGGAAGGAGGAAGCAGAAAAAGAAACAGAAGAAGAAAGGAAGACAGAGCAAGAGACAGAGACCACTGAGTAGAGGCTAACATGTAGACTCGCAATAACACTGTTTCAACCTATAGATCCCAATAATGTTGGAAGCCAGCTCTATCTCTTGTACTGATGGACCAATAAATATCCTTAAACTTAAGTATTTCTACTACTCTGAGAGTCCTGACTAACAGTATGTGGCAGAATCTGAAATGTTACTGAACTAATATCTAAAATACATGTTAGGGTGGTGGTAGAGAACTGGCGGGGAGGCAGCAACATTGTTTCAAGTTGGACAAATTGACAAGAGCGAGAGCTAGACTGCGTTCCATCCGGACCTGGGGCGGCAGTGCTGGGACCCTGTTTCTCCCTCCTCCGGCCCCGAGAGCGGGGGCGCGCTTTCTGCAGGGTTCCCAGGTCACCGCTCCAGGGCCGGGCTGACCCGACTCATTAGCGTTTCATGGAGAACTTCCAAAAAGTGGAAAAGATCGGAGAGGGCACGTACGGAGTTGTGTACAAAGCCAAAAACAAGCTGACCGGAGAAGTGGTGGTGCTTAAAAAAACCCGCCTGGACACTGAGACAGAGGGTGTACCCAGTACTGCCATACGAGAGATCTCTCTGCTTAAGGAGCTTAACCACCCTAATATTGTCAAGCTGCTGGATGTTATCCACACAGAAAACAAACTCTACCTGGTTTTTGAGTTTCTGCACCAGGATCTCAAGAAATTCAAGGATGCCTCTACTCTTACTGGCATTCCTCTTCCCCTCATCAAGAGCTATCTGTTCCAGCAGCTCCAGGGCCTAGCTTTCTGCCATTCTCATCGCGTCCTGCACCGAGACCTCAAACCTCAGAATTTGCTTATCAACGCAGAGGGAGCCGTCAAGCCAGCAGACTTTGGACTAGCCGGAGCCTTTGGAGTCCCTGTTCGTACTTACACCCATGAGGTGGTGACCCTGTGGTGCCGAGCACCTGAAATCCTTCTGGGCTGCAAATACTACTCTACAGCTGTGGACATCTGGAGTCTGGGCTGCATCTTTGCTGCGATGCACCTAGTGTGTACCCAGCCCCATGCTAAGTGCTGTGGGGAACATAGACGAAATGGAAGTCACAGTCTCTGCCCGCTGTGCTCTTATCTAGAAGTGGCTGCATCACAAGGAGGGGGGATGACCGCAGTGTCTACCCCATACCCTGTGACCCNTGAGTAATAGTTAAAAATTTGCTACGGTTCATCAACTAAGACAGACAAATACTGGTTCAAACATATTTAAACTGATAGGACAAACTTTTTTTTCACTTGTTCACAAATATTCTTTAGAGTCAGATCAACTACCAATTTCAATCAACCGACACTATCTGGTTTACCTTAATTTTGTATAAATATCATTCAAACTAAATGACTAAATTTTAAAATTTTTGAATATTTTCAGTTACTTTAGGTATTTAGCCTTCAGTTATTTCTACTAACCTAAGTTGAAACAAAGAAAAAAATAAAAATTTCGGCCCCCAATAAACAACTTAAGGATGACAATGCTATTTTTTAAAAGGTTTCATTCATTACCTCAATTGCATCTCTGAGGCAACCAGCTAAAAGAAAAAATGCTGCAGAATGTTCAAATCTTTGTTTGCCTAACAAAGAAAAAGCATTCTTTAAAGCTGCTTTACGCCATCTCTCATCTTCAAAACTGTGTCCAAAAAACTGTGTCATCTTGGTGTCTTTTTGGGATCTATAACAAAGAAAGTGCAAAAATTTTGGAACACAATGTTTCTACATCAGAACTCATTTTATAAAATTAGCCACTGAATAGTTAAGATTCAAAAGAAACATTTGCCAGTCATAAATTACTATACATCTACTTCTTTTCTGAGCAAAAAGAACATTTATGGCAAACATTTACTTTTTCATATATATATCTCAGAGATTATTGAAAAAAATGTCTTTCAAACTACAAAGAAAAGTACACTGGGAGCCTTATGAGAAGTTATTTTTAAATCCATGCAAAATACAGAGGATGTCAAAAAAATATGTATACACATTTTAAGAAAGGAAAAAACTGTATTAAAATTGTAATACAATGAATGACACTAGCTTTCATTTGATTAACGTCATCTTTTGAGCCAATATCATATTACACATTGCTACCGTAATTCAATTCAACTCCAAAAAGTAATACATAGATTACATCTCTTAAAATATGTACATTTTTTTGGTACCCCCAGTATATAATTTATGTTAACTTCTGTGTGACTTCACCATTTAAAACTGTTGAATCACCTTTACCCCTACTGTCCATTGAAGGGTGACTGTTGAATCAGTATCCTGATTCAAAACAATCCTAAGAAGATCTAGTCTCTTAGAAAACTAATTAGTACCATGATTTTCCCCCAAAGGTTGCTGTTTGTATGGATTTATCTGGAACTAAACCCAAAACAATCGGTGAACTATTTATGGTAATCGTGTTTACCAAGTGTTGTGCAGGACAAGTGAAAAGAGGAAAAATTCTAAATGATTCAAGCTTGAAAAGGGGGTCTGGGCCCACAGGAGGACAGCACTTTTGAGGGCGAGCCTGTTCCACGACCTTTAATAGGGAACAGGGCAGATGCCTGCTCCAGACTCCACCAACTCATCTTTTCCCTGCTCCAGATGCCAATTTCTGGGTTAGTTCATTGTTGTGTAGGAGCATCACATGAAGTTCTTAAAATAAGCAAAACAATATTTTTCTGAACTGATAAACCTGAAAAACAAACTAAAGTAACCTCAACAAAATCTTCTGCTCTGAAAAACACCGGGGCTTCTTCC